GCGGAGCGGCGCCCCAAAACTGCCCACCGGATGACCCGAAATGGCCCCCGTCAGTGTTTTCGCGCCCTCCCCTTGCTTACCGAGGTCGCGAAAACGCTGCGGGGGGCATTTCGGGTCGTCCGCAGCCAAAATGGCCGCCGGACGCCCCAATCGTCGCAAAGCGAGTGCGGCGATTGGGGCAGCTCCGTATAGCGATCCCCAAAAAGGGATCGCTATGCGGATTCTTCGTTATACGGTGCGCTCGTTAAGCGAGGCACCACTGTACAGTAAATAAATCAGTCCACTTCACAGGGTGTTTGTAAGGATTACTGGCCATGTACCTGAAGTGGTTTGAAGTCCTTAAATCACACAGAAATACCAATACTTTCAGTAGTGATAGACTGAAAGATGATTTTAACATCTTGCTTGTGAACTTCCCGGAATCATCCGACTGGTCAAAACAGAGATCAGATGCTTGACATATCTTTCACCTTAACTAGCAAGGAGGTCATAGTGAGCTCAGGTTCAACTTTCGTGTTTCAGTTTATCGTACTGGCTCAAAACAAACTGATTTTTGCCACATCCAAGTGTTCAAAGCAGAGGGAATTAAGCTGCGCCCTTCCTTCAGCTCCAGCCTGTTCTCCAATATTATACTTTCTAGATGCAAAATACCCTAGGGTGTTTGTTGATGTTTCCCGGGGCATATTTCAAAGAAAACTCCAAAGAACCTGTTCAGGCTCCCCATTTAGCTCTGCACTTCAGGTGCCAAGTATTATGGGATTAAGAGATTACCAGAGAGCTATGAAAACCTTTTGTCCTCAAAGAGATTAAGATTTTCTCATCTAGGATTCTGTAGTGATGGCCTAGATACAAGAGGACTCCAATGTAATCCTGTACAAGGGCAAATGATGGTTAATAGTGGAAACTTAGTATAACATGATACCAGCAAAGGTCATCACATTCTCAAGTTCCATGAACAGTGATAAAGCAGAAGCCAAGCTTTGGAATATGTTGAGATGACTGCAATTCAGCTAGACTCGTACCATGTTTGACAAAACTGAGGCTTTTCATGAAAATCCTAGGTTTATAGCTTATGGCATCTTGGTTCAGAAAAGAAACCCTTAAAATCAGACTTGTTTTTGTAAAGATGATCAGCCTTGTGATCAAAACCCTTGCTGGTTGGGGGTGAGTAATATAGAGGGAGATGATGATTCAGCCTCCAAACAGGTGGTTAATCTGTTCGGACAGATAGCAGTCTGTTGCCATTTTTTGTCTCACCTTGGTTGAATAAAGAGCATAATGCGCAGGGTCTAACACGTTTAGTGTTGCATCGCTATGCTATGCGGCACCCTTTTGAGATGGATTTAAAGTTAAGGTCTGCAGAAATATCTTGAGAGGTCACAAGGCAAAGATAGCAACCTGAGTAGGATTCTAGCAAGGGCACAGTGTGGCTATAAACAACAGGAACGGCCCTCTCTCTCTCTTGCACTGCTATCAGAAGAGTACTGTGAACAGTGAAATTCTCAACTTCTGTAGGCACAGTCAGAGCAAGTTCAAGACATGAGCAGAAGCTCTAGAAAGTTACTGTTCTGGATTGTATCTCCCAGAATCCCCCAATTAACCCCAGTACCGTTTGTCATGTTCCTGCTTTCAAGTCCAGAGCTTGGAAATAATTATTTCATTTTAACATCTCCCAGAAACCCCAGCCAGCTGGGAGGTAGCCCGTAGAAAGATAGAAATGTAAATTGTGTTACAGAGTTTCCCCTCACCTTCTTTCTCTTTATAAATGGAGTCTAAAGCTCTATACATAAAGTCTATTCCTTTTTATTTCAGACAACTGTAATAGAATATGTGAAACCGTCAGACCTTAAAAAGGATATGAACGAAACATTTAAGGAGAAGTTTCCACACATCAAACTTACACTGAGCAAAATAAGAAGGTAAGCAGAGAGTGAGCTGGTAAAGAGAAAAGCTAATAACTTCAGCACCAAAGTGATCCTAAACCACCTTGCAATAGGTTTCTTTCCTCTAAAATACATGCAGAATGGTAACCATTAGATTGAACATTTAAGACTAAATCCAGCTGTTGATTCCAGTCAGAGTAGTTCTGTTGGCGGAATGGGATTTATTCAGTGAACACTTATTATTTATTTATTTATTTATTGCATTTAGAATGGGATTTATTCAGTGAACACTTAGGTTGGGATGAACAACTGCATTTAGCCCGTATAACCCAACAATAACTGTGTTGCCTCGCCAGCCTTCCAGTGAATTCAGCGACATTCCTTCCAAAGCCAAGGTTTCATGTGTTTGTAATAGAGATGGGCACAAGCCACTGGTTCGTGCTTGTTCATTTATTGGCTAAACAAGCTTTTGGCGCTTCCAAACGCCATAGCCTCCGGTGGGCACCCCCTAAGAGGCAGCGTTCGAGATTCCCTGCCCCACCTTCTCTGTGCGCTGCCTCTGAGTGGCCACTCACCAGAGGAGATGGGGCTCAGAATCACCGAAAACCTGTTCAGCTGATAAACTGCAGAACCTGCTGTCCGTCCCCATCTCTAGTTTGTAACCTTGACTTCTTTTATAAACTCAGCTCTTGCTTATATGTGCAGGTACTTATGATTCACACAAGGTGTTAAGTGATCCTAACGGAAAGAAATATAAAATGACCGGCTATAAGGTCTTGGTTCTGTTGCCAATAGCCGATCGCATACTAATCCCTTAATAAATGGCTTCTCTCTTCTTTTGGGTGGGATTTGTAGTAGCGGCAGGAGTATCTTTAATTCCTCTTTCTCGCACAATGGAAAGCCAGTAACCTAGGAGTTAAAATTAACAGAGCAAGTTCCCAGCTACCATCTCCTACACGGACCAGCACAAATTATCTGTCAAACACTGCTTTAAGGTAAAAAGAAAATATATGTTTATTTACCACTTTCTGTAGATTCCATAAATGCATCAAAGGTTAGTGGAAGAGGGAAACGTTAAAATAAATAAAGGAAAACATATTTGGTTGTGGCCGGCATCTTCAGAGGACAGCACTCTGTGCTCTGGTGCAGTTTGTTTGGGAGTTGTGTATTTCTGGCTGGGAGATCAGCTTTTGTCCTTTTCAGGAGATGGGTGATTATGGTGATCAGTGTGTTTTTGTTGTGGGTGTATTGTTGTGATAAGGAGGAGAGATTATCTGTCACTGTGATTGATGGGTGTCATTAGCTGTTCTTTTGTGTGTAGTGATTGTGGATTTCTTTCTCAGCTACATGGACCAGAAATGGCCCATCCTGCACAGAGCATTGTACTTAGCTTCCATGTTCTTGGTCATGCTGACATCAACTGGCTCTGAACAAAGAGCAAAAAAGTATTCTAATTATGAAAAGCAAGAGTTAGAGATCTTTTAGCCAGGCAACAGAAGGGTTTTGCTAATTAGTAAGAGACGAACCAGCAAGCAAGCAAGCAAGTTAGTTAGGGGAAAGGTTTCCTTCCTCCCACACGACCATGTGTTACATTTGCATGAAAATTGTTAAGGAATGTTTGCAGTTCTCAGTGAGAACTGGGCCTTAAATACTTGAGTTACCTAGCTGGAGACAACACTGGGGGGATTGTATGGCCTGTTCTAGCGTTCTGCCTGTTTTCCTGCAAATCCTTCCCCCTATTCAACTTAACTGTAAACAGTTCCATTTCTCCCTTTGTTACATGCTAGCATTTCCCTTGAATCTATTTGTTCTGTGTGCTGAGATTTGAGTCAGGAGGACCTTTTTGCTCTGATCTGCACCTATGCACCTACTGTTCCTCCAGCTGTTTCATCTACCTTTTCTTAAATACTCAGCCTTTACTCCCCAAAGTTTCCTTCCTCAGCTTCTCTAGCAGACACCAAGGAATCTGAACGTAGACCCTTTACATAGGGCAAGCTAGATGACACAGGACAGCAACATAGACACACACATACACTCTATATATAGAGAGAGTGTGTATGTGTGTGTCTATGTTGCTGTACTGTGCCATCTAGCTTGCCCTATATTTATTTATTTATTTATTTGATCTGATTTTTATCCCGCCCTTCTAGACAATGTGTACTCAGCCACATGGACCAGAAATGACCCACTAGGCCAAAGATGACTGAAATGGCTGCTGCACATAAAGTTCTTTCAGCCCTTTTAGTAAATTTAGTGTATGTCATGGTGTTCCCTGTTCCGTAATATCATTGCTACTTTTACTTATTTTGGCCTTCACATCAGCAAAAAGCTGTATCTTTCTGGGACTGAGGCACTGACTCATCTGTTCTCGAGCAGATGCACAACACGTCTTCCTTTTGACTCCTTTTCTTCTGGGCTATTTCATTTGAACCTCTGGGCGCTCTTCCTTGCTGTTGATACAGAGCTGTGTTTACTATTTCATCCTCGGTTAAAATTTGAAAGTTAATAAACACATCACACTGCCAACACTCCCCTGTAGCCTCTTACTGCTCCAAAAAACTATATCTTGGGGTAGTGAGGAAGTTTTCCATTACCCTTGCATACAAGTAAGCAAAGCCAAAAAGTCTTGGGGTAGTGAGCGAGTTTTCCATTACCTTGCATACAAGTAAGCAAAGCCAAAAAGAATACCCCAGTAAGCAGAGTCATCTTTTAAAAAGTCCCATGTTTACACACAACTAGCTCTTAAGCAGAGGCCTGCATCCCCTTCATATCAAAAGGACAGTGTTCTCCATGTAGACACACTAATCCCAGTGCAAAAGGAATTCCTGCTGTACATAGGCCCTCCAGGAAGGAACAAGAACGGAGAACTCAATACGTTTACATGTATGTTTCCAATCTTCCTTTCTTAAAAAAAATACCAATAGAAAATATCTTTTTTTTCTATGCCTTACAGTTTAAAGAGAGAGATGCGAAATCTGAGTATGGAATGCAACCTGGAGCCGGTAACTGTATCCATGGCTTATGTTTACTTTGAGAAGCTCGTCCTCCAAGGCAAGCTTAACAAACAGAACCGAAAATTGTGTGCCGGTGCTTGTGTTCTGCTTGCAGCCAAGATCAGCAGTGACCTCAGGAAGCATGAAGTCAAACACCTTATTGATGTAAGCAAAGCCAGCATAACTTCCAAGAGTGGCCAGCTATCCATAAAATGTGGATATTTGCAAACAACAACAACAAAACATCAATCTCAAAGCCTACGGCTAAAACTCTGTGGAGGCTTGCATATGATTTTGAATGGAAGCACATATAATAAGTTCTAGCATTGGACTTACAAACTGAAAGCAAGCTTGCAGTATTGTGGCAAGAATGCTTGGCACTCCACAGGCCATGTATAGTCAAAGGGTTGTTTAAGTGGGTCCCCATCCCTCCTCCAAGCTCTTTGGCAAAGAAGAATTTTAGCTTTATTTTTTAAAAAAGGCATTTTCCACTCCTGAGAGCCTCCAGGCATGGAGCATCTCTATTAAAACTAGATACAGATCCATCCTGCATCTTTGCATACTTATCTACCTGTCAAAAAGCTATTTACAACCCCAGAAGTAGATTTTTGGTGTCTTCTAGTTTTATTTTTGGGGATTGTTGTAACCTGTAGTGGGTCTTGGGAGTCAAAAATGGCCCCTGGGCCATTGAAGCTTTCCTATGCCTGCCAGAGTGCTAAAAGAAGATGAGAAAGATGTGTTGATTTGACTCTTGACGGCAAGACCTACTTGCTAATTACAGGTAAAGGTAAAGGTTCCCCATGACAGTCTTGACGACAAGACCTAGTTGCTAATTGTTGGTAATGAACCATATAGGTAAAGGTTCCCCATGACAGTTTGTCCAGTCATGTCCGACTCTAGGGGGCAGTGCTCATCTCCATTTCCAACCCATAGAACTAGCATTTTGTCCAAAGACAATCTTCCGTGGTTACGTGGCCAGCACGACTAGACACAGAACGCCGTTACCTTCCCACTGTAGTGGTACCTATTTATCTATTCGCATTTTGCATTTTTGCATGCTTTCGAACTGCTAGGTTGGTGGGAACTGGGACAAAGCGACGGGAACTCACTCCAATGCGTGGATTCGATCTTACGACTGCAGATCTTCTGACCTTGCAGCACAGAGGCTTCTGCGGTTTAACCCGCAGCGCCACCATGTCCCTCACAATGAACCATATAACTAAATATAATTAGAACCAGCAGTAACAGGTATACTGCACCAAGCACCAGTATTCTTTATCACTGCCAAAGCAACTCAGGGTATAGCTCACCAACAGATCTATTAATTCATACATGTTTGCTTTAGCTCTTTTCCTTTATTATATGGCTGATCTCGTACTAGTGGCACATAGGTTCTTTCTCACTGGAAGGTGTTACTTTGCCAATGGGACATAAATTTCAGCATCAAATTTACTTCTACATTCTAGGTTTCTTAAAGGATCTGCTGGTTTAGCAGCCTTTGAACTTTTTATTAGACCATATAGGTCTCTTGCTACTTCAGTATGTTGATCAAGGGTAATACCATTTTTATATACAGTGGTGCCTCGCTTTACGATTGCCCCGCATTACGATGAAAATGCATTATGATGGTCTTTTTGCGATCGCGATTGCGATTGCAAAACGATGGTCTGAATAGGGGGTTTTCGCTTTGCGATATTCGGTTCCCTGCTTTGGGAACCGATTCTTCACAAAACGATGATTTTCCTCCAGCTGATCGGCGGTTTCAAAATGGCCGTCAGGTAAATAAAATGGCTCTCCACTGTTTTCTGGGGTGGATTCCTCGCAGGACAGCCACCGAAAATGGCCACCCTAGGGAGGATCTTCGCTGGACGGTGAGTTTCCAGCCCACTGGAAAGCATTGAAGGGGTTTCAGTGTGTATCAATGGGTTTTTTATTTTCGCATTACGATACCTTTTTCTTATAGGTCTCTTGCTACTTCAGTATATTGATCAAGGGTAATACCATTTTTATATATAGTATTTTAAAGTAGTCTTATTGTGTCCAAGTTGTAGGGAAATGGTTATGCTTAAAACAGTATCGATCGAATAATGTAAAATCTCAAATCAGTCCAAACACAGGAATAATGTATACTCTTGTTCTCCTTTTTCTTTTATTATTTTTCCTCGTAGAAGTTAGAAGAGAGATTCAGATTCAACAGACGAGATCTTATTGCATTCGAATTTACGGTCCTTGTAGCTTTGGAACTTGCCCTCTATCTTCCCGACAACCAAGTGTTACCTCACTTTCGACGTCTGACGCAACAATCCTAGCCAAAACTTTGTTCTAACAAAGTGCCAGGACTGAGATCCCTAAACGTTGTTGTTGGTCACTGGCCCTTCCTGGGCCACAGGAACAACATTTTCAACAAACCTGAAGTGAAGACTGCAAAGGCATTTCTACAGAGCTACTGAGGTGTGGTGAATAAAAGAGATTCTATGCGTGAAGTCAACAGAAGTGAGATATTGCGCTTTGGACATTAAAGCACAAAGGCTTTGCAACCAGTTGACACTAGAGCTGCTGGTCATACCTTATTTAACTGTTTTGTCTTTCACAGAGAGATGGTCCGTCCTTCTGTTACGGCGTTACTACTCATCATTTCCTTAAACTTTTCGTCACTCGTTTTTTCCTCTTCCTGGAATCTATAGGAGCATCGCTGCCATTCCAAAATACTGTGTGCTTCAAATAGTATTAGAATCCTTTTTATACTTTAAGCCATGCAAACTTGTACTTCTTTCTTGAAGGGAAGAAAGACGTGCCTATAACTAGGCTGGGCTGGCTCCAGTCTCTCTCTCTCTTTCTCTTCTTTAAGTTATGTTGCGTCCTGCAAAATTTCTGAACTTAAAACAAGTTATTCTTTTGCCTTTTGTTTATCTTGTTTTCTAAGGACAACAGCTCTATTGTGTCTGCACTTTCATCTCCAGAAGGGATGCATATACAAGAACGATATTCTGCTCAGTTAATGAATAAAAGCTTTTGTTTTCTTTTTTAAACTGAAACATGTTTCTGAAATGTTGCACTTGTTGAACAAGGCAGCTATAGGCAAAACAATTCCTATTTTAACTTTGTCCTTCAGAAACTAACTGGAGGCCATTCAACTTAATTGTAATTGGGTCCTATAGCTCTTGGAGCTGACAACTCTTTGACACTGCTTACTGTAGCCTGAAACAAATAACTGTTTTATTTATAACAGTGCTTTCATGTATTATTGTTTTTCTCCGTGAGCTTCGTACACAAATGTTTTTTCTCTGCCAATGCAGCTCTTGTTACCTAAATTAAGCCAATGAAATTCAGCATGTCTAACTTCTTTAATACTCTTTCTTTATCAAAATTCAGTTCTTCCAAGCTTTTTGCCACTGTGATGATCATGAACTTGACTTCCATTGCACATTCAAACCACCACTCTTGTAGAGGTTATTATTCAACACAGTGGTGGTATACAGATTATAAAAGTCCTGCTATAGTCAGACAGATTGTCTAGTCTAAGTATCCAAATGTTAAATTATGAACTGTATGATTTATTGACCTTGTAGCAGAAGAATCAGTTCGTGTCAAGTTTCTTTTCTAAGCAATATTGTATTACAAGTCAAAGTGTTTGTGTAGGTGTGGATGTGTGCATATAGTATTTGCCAATAACAAAATTAATACTTGTGTGTTGTGACTGAGAAGTTCATATTCTTTAATTTTTAGTGTGATTTTAGTCAGTTCAATACATTATGCAGATTGATGAGGTAGACTAAGGTCTAGAATAATGGACTATAACACTGTGGATTTCCAGATCACAGCTTTTAGCACTCCCCCATTCCATTGTGTAGTAACCTGAGCACATTGTAAAGATGATGTGAATGATTCATTCTTCCTGATGCATATATTATCTTCATCCACAGTATTTGCATAATATGTCAGTCAAAAATATGGCCAGCGCTCCAGCTGCGATCTGTGAAGTAACACAGTCCATATTTCTAACACCTCAATCTGTGCAAACCTCATAGATTGGCTCTTAGGAACTAAGCCTTTTGATAAATTAAAGCGGGGTGTGTGCTTTCCAGGACTTATAGTGCAAAAATAAACAAGCAAACAAAAAACCCTACTTGGGAATATCTACAAAGTAGCCATTAAATAAAGGGGGTGTCAAAAAGTGGTGCTAGAAATATTTGCATTAAATGCACTGCCTGAAATGGACTTATTTAATAGGTGGAGGACTTGGCTTTATGATCTCTATGCCTCTTGACAACTGTGCATTGATAGAAGGAGGGGAAATTGGATAAATCTTTCTAAACAAAGTCAGGTTGACATCACTGACGTTGCAGCCAATGTAGTACAGTCTCTCATTAGTACTTGGATTTTAATGCATCTAAATACAGTATCAGTCAAATTGTAATTAAGCACCTTTTTAGTACAGGGATAATTGTTGTTGTTCAAATTGAAAAGTGTAGTGTGTCTTTATTTCTTAGCAGACTTTCTCAATGCAGGGTGATATCTAGACCAAGAAAAATTAGAAACTGTTTAATTGGCTATCAAAACATTTAATCTTCCATCTGAACCAAAAGAGGCTGTAAACATGTTCATCTATGTGCCAATATTGTGTTAAATATTGTACACGCAATTGACTTGTATACACTATGTTCTAGTAGAAATGGTTGTCAGCTTAATTTTGCCCATTTGAAGCAGTTGTTAGCTTATTCAAGGAAGAATGGACGTTGGGAAGGTTGGGCTGGATTGATTCCTGTTTAGGATTAATTTTACCTGTAGAAGGCTGCAAGAATCGAGCTGTGTAGTATATAATTATTGTCTTTGAAAATATGCTGTTTCAGTTTAAAAAAAACATATTTATTTGCTGAATATTTCGATCCTTTTGGCAGACAGATACAGATACCGAAAAACTTTGAAGTCACAAGTATCAGTCAGAATCTTTGGAATACATAAGCCAAATGGTACGAGTTTATCCTTTTTTAGTTAGTGAACTCAATTTTTTATTCTTCATAATAAGGTACAAATTATTTTTAGGATGAAGAATCTAGCCTTCACTGAAGAATCCCAGCTCCACCCCCCCATCTCTGTGTAAATGGAGCTGCAGATTTGGGATAGCACATGTATGAAGAATACTTCCTGTGATTCTCTACTGTATGCAGGTTATGATTATCAAAGATATTTAACAGTAGCTGAAATCCTATTGCTTAATATAGTAAATCACACTAGGGTAGGCCCACTAAATCCATGGGAATTTTACGGGTCAAGTTCTCTGTAAATTCTCTTTATTTAAATAGGTCTGCTCTAGTTTTGACTTACTAAGCCCTTTTCAATCAATGGAACTTACATAGGAGTGACTCACTAAATCTGCACTGATTCGGGGGTCCTGTTCTAGTGTGAGTTACTGGGCTAAGCAACAGGATTTCAGTCAATATCTAACATGAAATACAGGTTTAGTCAGGAGATATTAAGAGGAGACATTGAGTATCACTCTTTTAACTCTGCAGTTTGACTTGTATGTTATTTTATTCCTGTGATTTAACCTGTATAGAAATAGTTCACTTGTTGAATTACTGTAGTGATAACGGAGAGTGTGACATTTGTTTGCATTTTTGTACGTTAATTTTTGTTTTCTTATCTGAAGTCAGCAAAGCCTCATTGTATTCCTTCTTCATGCAAAAGCTGCCACTATGTGGTAGAAATTATTATTACAACCAAATCTAGATCCAATGTAAAATTCCAGATTGCTTTCTCTAGATATGCTAGTCTCTAACAGCTGAGGTTTAATCATGTAATCTTATGTAAATAATGGTGCTTGTCTACCTTCAGCGCAAGAAAACACTCTGAATTGGAGTTTGTATATTTAATGTTAATATTATGTTTGTGCTGTCCAGAATTTAAGTTCTTGCTCTGTTTACTGTCCAATTCTGTTCTTCCAATGAAATGAATGAATTTGTTAATAAGGTGCTGTGTTACTGGATGTTTTGATACCTATTTTATAACTAAGCACATCTTGAAGGTACTTCAGGTTTGTGTCATAAATAATCCTTTAAAAACACTTTAACTTGTCTTCTTCACCTTCTCTACCCGTCTCTTTCAAGGGTTTTACAGGAGGGATTATTAGAAATCCAAAAAGCTATGTCTGCTGGAAATGTCATACAGATTAACACAATTCTACAGTTCAAACAGTGGGAAGTAAATTCAAGAGGCATATGAACCTGTAGGAGAAATTCATATATTCATAGATTCAGAGAATACATTGACATGTTTGGTACATAATGTGGTTTTCTGCCAATGTGGTGGTGAAAGAGTGCATTCTTTGCTAATATCCACTGCGTCAGCTAGTAAACACTTAGAATTAGTCCATTATTTTTTTTGTTAACAACTAGATTTTTTTAACCCATTAGTTCCACAAATTCTCAAGACAAATCATTACATGAGAAAAAAATGTCACTGTTGCCAGTTCTTACTGGTTTCATATTTCTATGTTTTCATTCATTTCATTTTGGCAGTATGATAAAGATGTTATACAGGTTAGGTACCTTAGAAAGAATTTAGCAATATATTCTTGAAGACTTTCATGGCCGGGATCCAATGGTTGTTGTGGGTTTTCCGGGCTGTTTGGCCATGTTCTTAATGTTTTCCTTCCTAACGTTTCCCCAGGCTCTGTGGCCAGCATCTTTAGAGGACAGGCCCAGGCTCTGTGGCCAACATCTTTAGAGGACAGGAGTCAGAACTTTGTCTGTTCTCTGTTGCAGTTTGTTGGATAGATTTTCAGGCGATTGGGCGATTATGTTGATCAACGTGTTTTTTTCTGGGTGTATTTTTGTGATAAGAGGGAGAGATGATCTGTCACTGTAATTGATGGGTGTCGTTAGCTAGTCTTTTGTGTGCAGTGATCACTGGTCCTTGTGGCAACATCAAACTGAAGAAGAAAAACACCCACCCATAAATCAAATTTTTCTGCCATACAGCAAAGTGGTCACAGACCCCGCAAAGGGGTCACAGACCGCATGGGGAAACGTTTGGAAAAAACACAACCTACAAACAGTATTCAGGCCCACCACAAAAATACAACAAATGTTACGGTCAGCAAAGGACAAAAGGGACCCCCTCACCACTACAGGAGTATACTGGATACCTTGCAGTTGTGGCCAGGTATATATTGGAACCACAAAACGCAGCATTAACACCAGAATCAAAGAACATGAGAGACACTGCAGACTAAAACAACTGGAAAAATTGGCAGTAGCTGAACATGCCTAAAACAAGCTGGACATAAAATTCAATTTCCAAATACTGAAGTACTGGACAACATCAGCAATCATTATGTTAGACTGCACAGGGAAGCCATTGAAATCCACAAACACCAGCAGAGCTTCAACAAGAAGAAAGCTGAAAAGTCAACAAAGGCTGGCTCCCAGCACTGAAAAATACAGTGTGCAAAAGGTCAATGAACTCTACCCAACTATAAGGACCAGTGATCACTGCACACAAAAGACTAGCTCACGACATCCATCAGTCACAGTGACAGACATCTCTCTTCCTTATCACAACAATACACCCAGGAAAAAAAACATGCAGATCACTATAATCACCCAATCTCCTGAAAAGGACAAAAGGGGACCCCACAGCTATAAATACTCAACTATCCAACAAATTGCAACAGAGCACGGACAGAGTTCTGACTGTCTTCTCAAGATGCCAGCCACAGAGACTAGTGAAACGTTAGGAAGAAAAACCTTTAAAACAATTTGGCAATAGTTGTTTAAAACAAGCTCCATGAAGCTGTTTGATGAGCTTGAAGGAAACAAGTCATTACATATTTCTAATGTGTAAGAATGAGTTGTATGTTGCTGGCCTCATAATCTGAGCTGGCAGCAAGTTCCCTCTTCTCGTCACTTGCATAAATAGAAAAACCTGCAAATAGCTGCTTACGACTGTTCCAATTATAAGTACAAAAAGGCCATCTGTTTCAGGGCTTGCCTTTTTATGCCAGTTGATCTATGATATATTTAGATATCAAAGCAAAGCTTGGAATGTTAACATTAAATATACCAAATATGTTTTAATGGTTAGTAAGGTCAAAAAAATTATGTTAACATCAGTAGGCTTTTTAAAAATTATTTTGTGTGATTAATAATTTGTTTTAGAAGATTTTGTTTTGCTCTTCTTTTGACCTGGTTTTGGTTATCATTTGCTTGTGTATGCCCCCTGGGACAAAAATAAACAAATAACTAAAACTACAGAGAAGTTGCCCATGAACAGAAGTTGGGCAGTAACCTAAGAATCAACCACCCTTTCAAGGATCCACTTATAAATCTTCTCCACTTAGCAATGGATTTTTTTCTCTGTTTTTTTTTAGTCCCTGTGGTGGTGGTGGATTTACTTTTAGAAGTTCATGAAGGGTTTTAACCTCTCTTTCGTGTTTGAGTGAGCATTAACTAGATTGGCCCTGCATGCTTACTTTGCAAAAAGAAAGGCAACATGCATCGGGGTCTTGTCCTGTAATGGTCTCTTGTACTCCCCCCACCACTCCATCTCTTGTCTCCATCCTAATGAGTGAATCCCTTTAATCTGACCTCTGTTCTCTATCTCAAATTCTCTCAGAACTCAGCAACAGTTTTATGCCATTCCTCTGCTGTCAGGGGCAATTCATAAGCCAGCACTAGAACCCCATGATACCCTTCTTTCATTTTTACTTCTTGCCATTTAGTGGGCACACATCATGTTGACTTGCCAAAACTTATGAATGTTATGGCCTTTCAACAATGTCCATAGCCCCTTTTAAGAGACAGATGTTAACATTGTTTTATGACAATGAAAATTTCAGTAAAGTAGAATTATGTATTAAGTCTATTATTTTCAAGCTGCCTAGAGCAGAGCAGAGCTGAGCTGAGCTTCAAAATGAAAATAAGAGTGCAAAACCAACCAATTACAATAAAATCTTAATTAGCCTGGTTGCTTTATTAGCCTTCCTCAGACTCCATAATTTTTTTAAAAAAGGGGGGGGGAATGAATTTATGGTTCTTACAAAGAAGCAAGTACTAAATAATAATTTGAAATTGTATACTTTTGGGAGCCTGTTGGCAACACCCCAATGTGATTTACAAGGTACAAGCTTAAAATACAATGTACAACTTAATAGGAGTGAACAAAAATCAAAGTAACAGTAAATCATAAAATAAAGATGGGTATCTGCTCACTGGCTAAGGCCAGTAGAGGTGATGGCATTACAGTTGAACTATTTAAAATCTTAAAAGATGATGCCGTTAAGGTGCTATACTCAATATGCCAGCAAGTTTGGAAAACTCAGCAGTGACCAGAGAATTGGAAAAGATCAGTCTACATCCCAATCCCAAAGAAGGGCAGTGACAAAGAATGCTCCAACTACCGTACAATTGCACTCATATCACACGCTAGCAAGGTTATGCTCAAAATCCTCCAAGGTAGGCTTCAGCAGTATGTGGACCGAGAACTCCCAGAAGTACAAGCTGGATTCCGAAGAGGCAGAGGAACTCGAGACCAAATTGCTAACTTGCGCTGGATTATGGAGAAAGCCAGAGAGTTCCAGAAAAATATCTACTTCTGCTTCATTGACTATGCGAAAGCCTTTGACTGTGTGAACCACAGCAAACTATGGCAAGTTCTTAAAGAAATGGGAGTGCCTGACCACCTTATCCATCTCCTGAGAAACCTATATGTGGGACAGGAAGCAACAGTTAGAACTGGTCATGGAACAACTGAGTGGTTCAAAATTGGGAAAGGAGTACGGCAAGGCTGTATATTGTCCCCCAGCTTATTTAACTTAAATGCAGAATACATCATGCGGAAGGCTGGACTGGAAGAAACCCAAGCCGGAATTAAGATTGCCGGAAGAAATATCAACAACCTCCGATATGCAGATGATACCACTCTGATGGCAGAAAGTGAGGAGGAATTAAAGGACAGATCCTGAAGCTGAGGCTCCAATATTTTGGCCATCTCATGAGAAGAGAAGACTCCCTGGAAAAGAGTCTGATGTTGGGAAAGTGTGAAGGCAAGAGGAGAAGGGGACAAGAGGACGAAATGGTTAGACAGTGTCATTGAAGCCACCAATATGAATTTGACTGAACTCTAGGAGGCAGTAGAAGACAGGATGGCCTGGCGTGCTCTGGTCCATGGGGTCATGAAGAGTCGGGCACAACAACAAAATATGATCATTTAAACGTGGACTGGGACATCTTGTCCCTTACCAACAGTTGCTTGGCCCCCCTATCAGTATGTACCTTCTCATGACCAAAAACACTTGAAGAATGACCACATATTGGGGTTATTTTAAGCTAATTATAGATCTTTGGGAGGTGGTGAGCAGTGCTTTATGTTAAAGAGAACATAGATACAGTAGGTATAGTGGAAGTTTAGTGTGATACAGTTAACTGTGGGTCCACACCCTACAGAAATACTGTACTGTGGATTTTGTCTCAGTTTGAAAGGGCTCGCTAGCAAACTAGATCATTCAATGAGATTATACTTTCCAATAGAACCATTGCAAATGCTAAGAGTGTGTGCCTAAAAGTAATTTTGTATTGGGACATGCTATTTATCTGGCCAAAATGCTCAAGATAATCTTGAAATGGAATGCCACATTCGAATTCAAAAGAGGAACTTCTGAAAAGTGGAAAGTTGAAAGCGGATGATCCTTCCAGAGGATGGCAAGAGGCCATAACAATACATTATTCAAACAGATATATTTATTCTGCTCTAGCTCAGGAAATCACCACCAAATTCATGAGGTCCTAACTATTCTTAATGAGCAGTGCCAGGTATTTAAAGAAAAAGCTTCCCTCAGCAAACTGAGGTGTTGTCCAAATAAGAACAAAAGGGAATACAACTTTGCTTAAGCAAATAAATTATGAAGTGTGCAAAAAAGTGTGTGTGTTATTAACACTAACAAGAACAGCAATTTGGGGACAAAACTTTTCTGCCTAATGTCCTCAGATGGCTCTAGTTTAATATGACAATTCAAGTGTGTTTCACTACGTACCACAGTATTAGGGGATGACTTTAAGGTAAAGTTTTTTTCGTCATGTTCTGAGCTACCCTGCGTAGCACTTGAGAGAAAAATATATAAATTAACAGTATTTTTAACAAGCTATCTTCTGTGTTTTGTGCTATTTTTAGCCATGGAAACAACCAGTTTGACCTCATAGTATTCGTCTTGTGGGCCAGTTTGGTCTTCCTTTGAAGGGCAGAACTACCGTTTATTCCTCATCTCCCTTTCAACCCCTCTTATTTTGCCTTCCCTCAGCGGGGGGCGCCCACATTCCCGCTTTTCATGCCCATAATAAGCTTTCCAAATCATCTCAGCAAGCGTCGCTCTGAGGCGAGCACAAGACGGACAGCTAACGAACTCCTTCTCCCCTCCCCCCCTGCCCGCCACAATAACCTCCCTCCTCGTATGCCCCCCCTCCCCCGATGTCACTCAGGGCGTCACGGCGCTCGTCCCCCCCCTTTCGCTCCAGACGCGTAATTTGTGTGCGCCGCTCTTCAGCCTTCCCTCCTCCCTTCCCACCCGCGGACTTCCTTTTTGTCGCCTTTCGGTGACGCAAACCTCCCTTTCCGGCCTGGGCTCGCGGCGTGTGAGAAGGTGAGGCGAGGCCTGGTCCTCTGAGGGGGAATTATTTGTACCTTTTCGCCTCTCCTCGAGAGCTGGAGGAGACCTGGGGAGCTCCTCAGCCCTTGGCTGAGGTAACCCTCATGGAGCCCGTAGCTTTATTGACGCCGGGGCAGCACCGCCCGCCTCTCCCTTCGGGTCTCCCTGCTGGACGTGGCTAGGAGATTTCCAGACGTTTCTCTTCAAAAAGTTATTTTCAGTGGTGGGGGTGGGAGGGTAACTTGCCCTTTACTTCTCCTCCCGTAACTGCTTGATTCACGAAGTAAGTCTTTGCTGAGTGTTCTGGAAAATCATAGCGTTCCCGTAACGGACACGGCCCTACCCCTTTTTCAAACGAAGAAAGTTTTATTTATTATTTTAAAAGGAAAACTGCGAATCGTCTAGCGTTAGTTTGCTAGCACTGTGGCTGAAATCCTGTTGGTTAATGCGGTATGTTGCACTGCAGGAGTCCGTTGAATCAAGAGGGATTCGGTGAATCGATTCCTCGGTAAATTCCCTTCATTCAAGGAAAGGAAACTCGCTGTTTGAATTAATGGAACTGACAGAAGTTGATTCATCAAATTCAGGCTGATTCAGGAGTCATACTCTAGTGGGCAATTAATTTCTATAAGGGGGCCACATGAAAAATTGAACTGTGGGGGCGAACCAACTTTACTTAAAAATAAAATGAAACAGTGATGTTATGATTGTTTTTATTTTAAACTTGTTGATCTTCACAAATACTAAAGAGTTTTTTTTGCAGTATGTTAAAGATAAGCAACTGATTAACTTTAGACAAAAAGCTATAAATGGTTTTGATGTTCAAAACTGTCCAGGGGCCGGACAGGAGCGGCTCGCAGGCCATATGTGTCCCTCAGGCCGCACTTTGACCAGGTCTGCTCTAGTGCAATTCAGTGCGCTAAGGAGTAGGATTTCAGCCAGCCTTCAGGTGCTAATTAATCCGAAACACTCAAAGGTGTCATCATGTTAGGTGAAGATGGTTGTGTGATCATGCATTATCTCCTGTGTGACAATGTGTAATCAATACACCACTATATGTAGGGGGAGTGGGAATGAGATGCTGAATGGCGTATTCCTCTTCCTTGGGGTGTTTTCTTTTCATTCACTTATAACTAGGCAGCATAGTGCAACATATGGGAGATAATGTATCCTAGCTGCCAGGATTAAGATAATACCAAGTTTGCTTACTCCCCTAAGCAACTTGGTTGCTGCATTTTGGACCTGTTGAAGTTTCTGTACCATTTTCAAAAGGATTCCCACATACAGAACATTACATTAATCTGTTTTTTATATTGCTAGCACATGGACCAAGGTTGTTAGGGATTTCCAGCCCATGTAGTGGCATAGTTCTACACCTAGCACAAGGGAACCAAATGCATAGTTACAAGAGGGGGAAGGATACTTGGCTCAGTCATTCTAAATGTGGGAAGGCTCTTGGAATTGTTGTAGATGACAAGCTGAATATGAATGTGGCTGCAAAAAGGAAATGCTATTTTAGGCTACATTGAGAGCCTGATATAGTCTCCAAACCCTGTGAAGTACTAGTTCCCCTCTATTTAGCATTGGTTAGACCTCATCTTGAATACCGTGTCCACTTCTGGGCATTACATTTTAAGATGGTTGCTGACAAGCTAACCACTTCAGAGGAGGGCAGCAAGGATGATCAGGGTATTGGAAACCAAGCCCTATGAGGAAAAGCTGAAAGAACTGGGTATGTTTAGCCTTGAGAAATGAAGACTGAAGGTGAGATAGGATAGCACTTTTCAAATACATGAAAGGTAGTCATACAGAGCAGGAGCAAGATCTGTTCTCAATCATCCTGGAGTGTGGGACATGTAGTAATTGGCTCAAATTATAGGGAATCAGATTTCCTAACTGTTAGAGCGGTGCAACAGTGGAACCAATTACCTTAGAAGGTGGTGAATGCTCCAGAGCTGGAGGCATTCAGAGAAAATATAGTCGTACATCAGGTATACTTTGATTTGGATTCCTGCACTTAGCAGAGGTCTAGAATTGGTGGATTTATACATCAGTTTCCAACTCCATTATTCTTTGCCTTTATAGACTGTAAGCTTCCAGGCAAAGAGTTTGTACTGATCATACCAATACTCAACAACAACAACAAAACCCATAAGCATACCTCCATTTCTATTGAAGAAAATTATTGCTGAGAAAATACAGGTATTGTCAAAAGGTCAACAACCAGTAACCAGTTGATTTTAAAAATTATTAGTTTCATCTTGTTCATATGAACTAACCTTGAAATATAAAAAGTTTAAACAAAATCAACGTATGAAGGTTTTTCTCTTTAGTTAAATGAATATACAAGATGTAGGAGTTACTTTGGTTTTTTAAAGTTTGTTAAAATGGCTGTTCCTCAAATTCAGTTGCCAAATAAAAGATCTAAAAGTGAAACCAAAAATTCACTTGCATTTTGAGAATATACTAGACAGCAGCGGTGCCTCTGTGAGATGTCATTCTTAAGTACATGTGCAACAATGCTGTGGCAAGCTGCCAAAAAAGAAGAAAACATGAAGTTGAGGATTGAAACTTCCAATTGTGGAGCCTTTTGTACTATTTAGTCACTTCAGGGACTGATAATTTCACATATCTTCTCAGGAATCTCCTGCAGCACGTCACTTGTGGCAAGTGATCTAAGAATACACAATGCAGAACGATGCTGGAGAATTTGTGGATCTGTATGTGCCCCGTAAGTGGTGAGTATCTGGACTGTGGAAATTAATTTCAAGAATTCCAGTTTCTGGGTGTTGCTATGTTAGTCTGTTGCAAGAAGAATAATGAAAAATGTGAGATCTCAAAAGAGTAACAAATTCGGCACAAGCTTTTGTGGATGACCTCCCACAATAGTTGTGTTCCTACATAATGCCAAACTGTGGTTTAAGCATTGTAAGTGTTACTTATAAATTCTAAAACTTCCACATGAGCTTTGCGAACTCAATATTATTTGAGTAAGACTTCCCATGACAGCAGCCATCAGAGGTGTGATGCATCCATCAAGGAAGGTTTTAATACTTATTTGTGCAGAATATTAGAGGAAGGGAGTGATGGTTAGAAGCCAGTTAAAGTGTTCACAACTGCATTTCCAGTTTCCCTTTATCTGTCATACTTGTTACACATTGGCTGAAGACCAGTAACATAATGTTATGCCATGTAAGTCTTATAACATCGTTAGCTGCAGTTGTATTTTGTTAATCAAAAAATTTCCCACCCTCCTAAGTTCCTAGGATCCCTTTGGTCTTGGGAAGGTGTTTGGGGACAGAGGGACAGGAGCAGGAAGACTTAACGTCTTAAAATTGTCAGTGGTGGGACCGGTGACAGTAGTTTTTGGACACTTAAGACTCCTGCCACTGTCCTTCTATGCACAAAGGCTTCCTCAGCAACCTTTAGGAAACTTAAAATTTCCAAAATTCATCCACAACTAATGACATCATCAGACTTAGACTGCGTAACTTTGTTACTGGATTTCAGCCAGTAACTCCCAAGATTGTTGTACATATTACTGCTTCTGTTCCATTAAGCCTACTTCACCCAATATCTTATTTCCTCAAAATTAAAATAGCAGTTCACTATTAAACAGTACTTAACTTTTCTGCATAGAGTGTTGACATCTTTTCCTAGCATTATATGTTAGAATAGAAGCATACATCTCAGTTTCACACAAACATGCAAAAGCATGAGAATATATCAATACTTTTGCCAAGACATCTTAGTCTAGTCAGGGAAAATCTGCCTTTATCTTTGACACAAGAATAATAATGCACACCCTTTCCATCATTGTGGCTATGAGGAAGAGATTGGGAATAGACTTAACTTCTTGAATTGGCTCTTGAATGTGGCTTGTTTCAGATAATCAGGGTCAAGAGTAGCTACATTTTTTTCAGGTTTGGATGATACAGCAAGCAGTAATTATTGGAAACAAAAAAATCTCTGAAATTCTTTCATCCACAGTGAAGTGGGTTGTATATAACTCTAGTGCTTGTTGCAGTTTATTCTTATAACAATAAACAATAGTTTCCTTGTTGCTTCCAAACCACTCCAATGTCTTTCATTGAGATATTTGTTGATACATAAGAAGCAAAAACAGTTTCATTGGTTTTTTTACTTCTAGAGAGATCAGATTTGATTGATCTAGTGCTCACTTTCTGGGAACCTGTAGAATCTGTAAACCTCCTTCAGTGTCTCATTTCAAATGAATGGAATTTTTGTGTGTGTCAGCTTTCTTTATTGCCAGGTTTTCACACCAACATGTGGTAATTAGGAACATCCTATTATAGATTATCTAGATCTTAGTCTCCAAAAACACAGTCTCAAGCTTAATATTCCTAATATTCTTTCTTAAGAAATAAAAACCATTTAAGCTTAGAATTTCTCCATCACTGTTGGAACTATCAAATCTCATCTGCTGATGTTATCCTAAATTCCTGAAGAGGATGGAGGTATCTTGGTCTGGTGCCTCAGCTTTGCCCATTTTGTCTTAGTGACCCTCCTGGGACTTAAACTCAAAGACTGGCCTCCTGACAATAATGCTCTTGGTTTTCCTGACATTTAAACCTCCTCATGACATGTTGTACATCCAAGAAGCAAGTCTTACAGCTGCTAATACAGTGATTCCACGGTCTACAAATGCCAAGGTCAAATACTTTGCTGGAATGCTGATTCCCTCCGCCACCTCCATTATAACACCATTATCATCCTTTTTAGAAGTAGCTTTGATATTTAAAGTATGATTCAGTAGTACATTTCATAATTGAATGTTTGAGTTCTTATTTTGTTTTTATGGGGGAGGGCTGTTTTATGCTGAGTGATTTGGTAGTGCTGGCTTTAGCTTTGTGTTCTGCATAGTGACTGAATGTGTAACAAGAATACATGACATAGAGCATTGCTGAGGCACGCCATAAAGTATGGTAGAGCTGATGCCACATGAGAAATTAGTAGTCATTATATATACACACTTATGTGGAAATGTATATATATTTTCCTGTCTGTTTTTTAAATCAGCTCTGCAAGCAATCGGATAATTGGTGCGAAAGACCATGCTTCCATCCAAATAAATATTTCTGAGGTAAGTGAAATATCGGAATTAAATAAACAAACAAATATACAAGCCAAAAGAATAAACATTCTAAATATATATGCTATCCGTTGAGGTACTGGTTTACAGTTAGTGAAGTAGATAATCTTCTGCTTGCCTGTATTGCATCGTGATCACACCTGGATGGCAAAGTACAGAGCACAGGTTGAGGAGGCAGCTAAACCCATTATGCCTACAAGAGGGAGAATCCAAACTACAGGTAGATGCTTAAGCAGTGCTTTAACCCATGAAGGTATTCGAAAGGGTTGCAGGTCCAGAGGGAGCCAGTGTTGGCTGCAACTTGCTGTGTCTTTGATCATGAGCAGTACTTTCTTCCTGTTTCTGCTTTTGAGGGAGTTGCTTTGGGCTCATCTGAGACCTAAGAGAAGTCAATAGCACTTCCATGACAGTAATCACTATAGTCTCCTTTGGACACTTGGGTCCAGAAAATACAAAGATAAGCAATAATTCCCTGTGGCATACTTCTTGAAGCAAGACAGATACATGCACAGGGTTTGGTTATTGCTGCAGCAACCTCTGTTCAACCACGAGCCTCCAGAGACCAAGAGCAAACCCAGTGAGGTGAGAGTTAGTGTGACCAAAGCAAGAACTTCATAACCAGCCCCTCCCCACCACTATAGAACACCATATGCCTACTTTTGTTTAGCTGTGTTGTAGATGAGCAGAGATAAAACAACCATTTTCTATATGCTGGACAGGTTTCACTTTGTTCCAGAGTATAGTACTCCAATAAATCCTGGGAAATGCAGTTTTATTATAGTTTCTAAACTTGTTCACTTACTTCTTGCTCGCTAATTAGATTTTTAGGCCTATATACAGTGTTAAGCCAAAATAACTTGAGTCCATGAAAATTCCACAAGTGCTGATGTACCAGTTTGTCATTGGCCGAAATTCTGTTGCTTAGTGTAGTTGTTCACAGCTAGGGTACGTCCATTGAATCTGTGGGGATTTATAATCATCTTAGAACTCCCATCAGGAAGGCACAGTGGGGGAATCAAACTCCCAGCCTTTGAAGCCAAATACCTAAACAACTGAGCTATCCAGTCATTCTTGATGAGTCAGATCCTCACTCGGTATTATGTGTTCTCCAGGTATCATTACAGAGCCAAATACCTAAAGAACTGAGCCATCCAGTCATTCTTGATGAGTCAGATTCTCACTCGGTCTTCCTTCTGTTCAGTAATTGGTTCAGTGATTCTACTGTAGTTCAGACTAATAATTGAATTAGGCCATAGAATCCAAAAGACAGGAGTATCTTCTATGTATTATGTGTTCTCCAGGTATCATTACAGAATGTTTAAAATGTTGATATGCAATCTTTATTCTAATTACAGGTTGATAAAGTCACAGGCAGAGTGAATGGCCAGTTCAAAACATATGCAATTTGTGGCGCAATTCGTAGGATGGTAAGTATTTACTTTACATGCTTTTCTGTGCCTTTAACTTTTACATTTTGATAATGACGTTCAGCGTACAGTTGCTTATAAAAGCAAAAGCTATCACTGTAGTAGATCTCATGCTGGAGCAGGTAGTGTAAACTGTTTTGAAATAATCACAGGCAGTGGACAAAATTTCACCAGCAGTTGAAATTCAATCCCTAATCACTCAATTGTGTGATAAAGCCAATCAGGAGATGGATAGGGCAGTTAACTGTGCTACTGTGTGATAAAAAGTGATCTTTACTACCTTAGGAGGAAGAGTAGTAACTACAGTCATGGCCAAAAATATTGGCACCCTTGCAATTCTGTCAGAAAATGCGACCCTTCTCAGGAAATTATTGCAATTGCAAATGTTTTGGTACTCACATGTTCATTTCTTTGGTTTGCGTTGGAACAACACCAAAAAACAGAAAAGTCAAATCTGATACAATCCCATACAGAAACCCTAAAATGCACCAGCCAAAATTATTGGTACCCTTAACTTAATATTTTGTAGCACCCCCTTTGCGAAAAATAACTGAAATCATTTGTTTCCTGTAACCATGAATGAGTTTCTTACACCTCTGTACTGGAATTTTGGACCATTCTTCTTTTGCAAACTGCTCCAGGGCCTTCAGATTTGAAGGATCCCTTCTCCTAACTGCTGTTTTGAGATCTCTCCACAGGTGTTCTTTGGGATTCAGATCTGGACTCATTCCTGGCCATTTCTGAACTCTCCAACGATTTGTTTGAAACCATTTCTGAGTGCTTTTTGAAGTGTGCTTTGGGTCATTGTCCTGCTGGAAGACCCATGACCTCTGGTGAAAACGCAGTGTTCTGATACTGGCCACTACGTTGCACCAGTGTACTATTAGAACGCAAAAGTAATCTGAGCTGAGTAGCTACTGGCAAACTGTTAACCTCATTGTTCATGTATAACAGCAGAATTCTAGTCATATATAATCAAAAGCAAGTCCTGCTTGAAGCAAGGAGCTTACTTTGAAGCAGATGGACAGCCATCAAAGTTACTTTTACAAATACTGGAGAGGGCTGGTTGCTTCCTCCCTTCTTCCTCCCCCACCAGCAGGAAGGAGAGCAGATCAGTGGTACATCCTAACACAAACAGTGCAGGATCTTGTATTTCTCAAACTGACTACACTACAGGGTCAGCATCTCGTAATTAGTTTAAACTGCTATTAACACATGTAGAGCATCTTGAACACATGGAGAAGGAAATACTTGGGCAGCATTTTTAATAAGGTGTTGCATTATTTTTATGTGGTCTGAATTTTTTTTACAGTACAAATTTTATTGTTAGCTACCACATTCTTAAGTGGAAGAGCAAAGCACAAATGTTATAATAAAATTCTTAAAAGCAGCTTTAAACAGTAGGAGACAGTAAAAGCACTGCACTGTTCTACCATGAAAATTTGTAGCTTGCCACTCATAGATTTCCTCTTGTCAGGGAAGTCACACATTTCAAAACTAGCTTAAGCTTGTTGAAAGGCAAATTTGGTATTTACTGAAGATCATCTTGACACTTCGACTGTACAACTTGTTTTCTGTGTTTCAGGGGGAATCTGATGACTCTATCTTGCGCCTAGCAAAAAATGATGGCATTGTTTCCAAGTAAGTGGTTAGTATGAGCCTGGGGAAAGTCTGAGCAAGGCATTTCCCCCCCACACACACACTTCAAGTAAGCTATAATCTTACTTGATGCAGTTGTGCATTCTACATTGATTAGTGCCTTCTGCTCCATTACCTGACTCCTTAGGTGGTTCAAAGCTAAACATTTGTAACTCTGTTTCTTTTCTTTCTCCAGGAATTTCTAAATCAAGAAGCACCATGATACGGAATTTCTTATAAAATAAAAAACTGTTGGAAAACATCTGGTGTACAGTCTGTCCTTTCAGAGGAAGAGATCTTAATGTAGCTAATTCTGAAGTTAGAATTAAGCATAGAACTGCTGGGTTTTGGCATCTGGCTGCAGAGCCAGAGGTTGGGAGTTCAATTCCCCACTGGGCCTCCTTGACGGGCTGGGCGTGTTGATCCATAGGGTCCCTTTCGGCTCAGCAGTTCTAAAATTGTTGTTGATATAGTTCTACATCTGATACATCAGTTTTAATAATGCTGCTGTGAATGGCCAATCAGAAGTAGATCTCTGACTCAAGGCAGCATTGCCAATTTGCAAGGTAGTTTGTCGTCTTTTTATCATTCTTGCCATGATATATTTAATGGTTGGCAGATGGATAGGAATTAAATTATGGGCTCAGCAACTCTAAAATTGTTGTTGATATAGTTCTACATCTGATACATCAGTTTTAATAATGCTGCTGTGAATGGCCAATCAGAAGTAGATCTCTGACTCAAGGCAGCATTGCCAATTTGCAAGGTAGTTTGTCGTCTTTTTATCATTCTTGCCATGATATATTTAATGGTTGGCAGATGGATAGGAATTAAATTATGAATAGAGAAGGGCATGAATTGGTGGTTTGTGCTGGTTTATCAGCTGAACAGATGTTCGGCACGGCAAAGCCCCACCTCCTCTGCCCAGCCACCACTCAGAGGCAGCACCTAGAGGAGGAAGGACAGGGAAGCCAGGCCACTGCCTCCAAGTGAGTGCCCGCTGGAAGAGGAGGGGCTTTGAAGCGTCGAACACCTGCTTGGCTGATAAACGAACCTCCAAACCGGCTGTTCATACCCATCTCTGACTGTGAACCATGGGTAAAGGTAAAGGTTCCCCTTGACATTTAGTCCAGTTGTGTCCGACTCTAGGGTGCAGTGCTCATCCTCGGCTCCAAGCTGTAGAGCCAGCATTTGTCTGTAGACAGTTTCCATGGTCACGTGGCCGGCGCGACTAGACACAGAACGCCATTACCTTGCCACCGAGGTGGTACCTATTCATCTACTCATTTTTACATGCTTTTGAACTGCTAGGTTGGCAGGAGCTGGGACAAGCGACGGGAGCTCACTCAGTCGTGTGAATTTGATCTTACGACTGCTGGTCTTCTTGCAGCACAAAGCCTTCTGCAGTTTAACCCACAGCACCACCACGTCCCACATGAACCATGAAGCAGATATCAAATTATTTTTTCCACATGCCTTCACATTTGTACCTGGTATGTGAAGGCTACTGCTGGCTGACTGGAAAGATTCGTAGCTGACTTTATTTAAATACACACATGCATTAATCCAGTTAGTTTGTTTCTGATTCTCTCATTCATGATATTTCCCCATGTCATCTAAGCTGGCCTGTGAATTTTCACAAACTTCCCCTTATTAACTACTGTATGTGGCAAGCAACCAATAGTTAAAGTAATTACCTTTGCTGTTGGGATTGCAAGTTGGAAAAACGCAGGATGTTGATATCCTCTGATGAATATCATTATTCCAAAGCACATAAACATGCTTTACCAAAAAACTGAGCAGCTAATTCAGGGGAGGGTGGAGGGTTATAGCCTATTAACCTGGCAAGAACTAAAAAGGCTTATCTGCTTCATACAGGCCAGAAGGGTCACAACTGAACAGAGGAGTCATGCTGATACTGCCATTGTTAATCTGCCACCCTTCTGATTTTGTCTTAATATCCACCATGCTGCAGTTTTGACCTCATATATATGCAGCTGCAGTTGCATTTAAAGTTTAAACAAGCATATATATTTTTAAAAAAATTTATAGAAACAATCTGATGTTACTGAAAATTAAAGACAATAGTAACATTTTTGTTGAAGGTAAAATGATTTTACAGGTAACATTCAGCTATATGTTAGAAACTGTGATTAGCATAATGTGATCTTGATAGAACCTCAAAACAATGTTGAGAATAGTGCAGAGTCTCAGGCATGACAGAATTTTGTCTATGTGACAGCATTTTTCTGCAGTGGATATTGGCTACACTCTATTGGCAAATCATGCACATCTGGAGTGCCATCTTTTCCCCACAACGACTGTACGTATTTTTAATCTGGATGATTGAAGACTGCTGCTTATGGTTTTCCAAGTACAGTACAGTATCTGGATCAGAAATTGTAGCTGAGCAGAGCCATCAGAGCAACTCAGCAGGCAATAAACTTAAACAGTTAATTTTTTAGGAAATAAAAAATAGCTGTCTCTTACTCCAGCAAAAGGTGTTAAATGCCATTGACTAGGGACAAACATAGTATCAACCATTGACTAGATTGTAGCGATTTAGAGAACATTACAGTCAAGCAAGAAATAGACAGATTATACTCTTCACAAATCCTTTTATGTAAATATATACCAGCTATGGCCCTACCTGGACGAGCAGAGTCTCATGACAATTAGACACGCACTGGTAACATTTCGCATAGATTACTGCAATGCGCTCTACGTGGGGCTGCTTTTGAAGATGGTCTGGCGACTGCAACTGGTCCAGAATCGAGCTGCGTGGCTGGTGAGTGGTGGGGCTGCTAGGGAACACATCTGGCCGATTCTGATTAAATTACATTGGTTACCAGTTGCTGCCTGGGCTCAATTCAAAATGCATGTTTTGACGTATAAAGCCTAAACTGCTTGGGCCCTGGATACCTGAAGGACTGCCTCCTTCCATATGAGCCTACCTGGCAGTGAAGATCTAGCCAAGGGGCCCTTTTGAAAGAGCCGGCCCTCAAAGAGGTAAGGACAGCTTGTAGAGAAGGCCTTTTCGGCAGCTGCCCCTAGACTATGGAACGCCCTCCCGAGGGAGATTTGTCTGGCGCCGACACTGATGATGTTTCGGCGCCAGGTCAAAACCTTCCTCTTCCAGAAGGCTTTTAATTGAAACAATATCAACTGTGGGTCCGATGGCAATTTTTAGAGCATTATGTTTTAAATTGTATTTTAATGGTTGTTATCTTTATATCTTTTATTAAATTATTTAAATTGTAAACCGCCCAGAGACCTTTGGGTAGTGTGGGAGGCATACAAGATAAATAAATAAATAAAATAAGTAAGAGTGCAAAACACTTGTCCTTCAGTCCTGTGGACTGTGACTCCCATTAGCCCTACGCTGTACAGACAGGGCTAAAAGGTTGATTTCTGAAATGTCTGGAAGCCAAAGCTTCTCCACATGATATGGAAGTCTTGGTCAGAAGGGCTTTTAAAACGTGCTTTATCCTCTCGCTATTGCAGTGGGTTCTGAGGTGCCTTTCAGAGGAAAGCGCTCCAAACACAACCTAAGTATTTGTACTTTTAAATGAGATATGGAATAAAATGAGATTTTAAAAAGCAAAACAGTTCCTTGGCTGTGATACTGGACATTTGTGGCAGAAAAGGCACTATTTCCTGAACCCTCCCCTAGCCTTGCTCTATAGTAGTGGTTGCCAACCTTGCAATCCCCAGGAAATTCTTGAACTACAACTCCCAGGAATCCTGGCCAGCACAACTCGTGGTGAAAACTTATGGGAGTTTTAGTCCAAGAACATCTGGAGACCCAAGATTAAGAACCACTGCTCTAGAGCAAAGGTTGGGAGTGGGGTTTTTTTTTCTTGTCACTTTAATGTTTGCACTTAGTTGCCTCCCCCAAAAGTCCTTCCAGTTGATTTCGTGAAGCCGAGGAGAAAACAAAAACAAGTGGAGGAGAAAGCAGGGATCAAAGCAATCCTGCAGCGCTTTGATCCCTTTCCCCCTACACTTGCTAAACCCCACTTAGATTTCTTAATTTTGGATTAGAAAAGGGGGGCGTCTTATAAACGGAAAAATATGGTATTTCATTATGAGCTGGCTCAGGTGTTAAGATCCTCAGGAGAGGCCTTTATCTTGGTCCCACCACCTTCGCAGGTAAATTTCACAGGAAAGGGCTTTCTCTGTGGCTGCTCCCAGACTCTGGAACTCCCTCCCACTGGAGGCCAGGCAGGCCCCATCCTTGCTGTCCTTCCGCAAACAGGCCAAGACCTGTGAGTACTACTTGTGTTTTCCGTTTTTGTGTTCTCCCTTTCTCAGGGTGACGTTTTCAAAATGTTTGTATACTTTAATGTTGCCTGTTAATTGAGGTAAGAAGCCTCGGTGTTCATTGTTCATAATTTTTAAATATTGTCTTTTAATGATGTCAGCCACCGTTGCATACTCATTGTTTCCAACTCTGAATATTGTCTTTCACTGTTGGAAGCCACCTTGAGTCCTTTTCAAGGATAAAGGTGTGTGTGTGGGGAGAGGAAATAATGACTACAGCTTATGTAGCCAAAGTGGCTTTTCCCAATTTGCCAATGACATATGCAGCCTTTTGTCTCTTGCCAACAGCTGGATCAGCAGCCAAAGAGACCCAGTTGTTATCAGAGCAGTGTCTGGCTGCTTTTGCCCTGTAGACCTCCTACAGCAGAGAAGGCAGATGTTCAGTGGGACTTTAGCCAGCCTTTCTGAAGCTTTGGGTAGGTCAAAGACAGCCAGTATATTAAGAAAGGAATATTAAAGGGGCATCAACCTATGTGATTAAAATAACCAAAAATGTAGTTCAACATCTCCCACTTATGTTTTTTTCCCATGTGCTGACTATTCTTGGAAGCCAACATAATACCCAGGTTGTTCATCTGCATGTACTGGGATCATGGTAATGCCTTCCAGACTGGACAGGATTATTCCTTTATTTAGCAGTAATAGTTCTGCACCAGGTTCTGTAAAGTCCTGGGTTTTTCACCCATCCACCTAAAATAGTGTCAGTCAAGAGAAGTTTCTCAGATGTATTTTTAAGATTCTTTCCAGCGTGCAATAAATGGCCTGCGCTGTTCTCAGACAGGAATAGTGCAGATCTCAAAAGAGCCATGAAAGGGAATGAGCTAGATTTGGATTGTACAAGCGGTGCCCCATTGCCCTTACATGGTTACGTTGCACCAACTTGTGAAATTCTCGGCTGTTACTTACAGAGGCTTGGCATTCAAAGGTCATCTGCACTGT